GGCTCTGCACAGGCCCAGTCAGTACCGCACATGGCGCTGCACAGACCCGGTCGGTACCGCACATGGCTCTGCACAGGCCCGGTCGGTACCGCGCCCGGCGCTGCACAGACCCGGTCGGTACCGCACATGGCTCTGCACAGACCCGGTCGGTACCGCGCCCGGCGCTGCACAGGCCCGGTCGGTACCGCGCCCGGCACTGCACAGACCCGGTTGGTACCGTGCTCGGCTCTGCACAGACCCGGTCGGTACCGCGCCCGGCGCTGCACAGCCCGGCCGCACCGGGACAGGGCGCCCCGCGTTCCCGGCTCCCGCGGCAGCTGTTCCGCTGCTCCCGTGCGCCTCCGTTCCACACTGTGAGGTCAGTCGTGTTCTGCGCCCGGCGCAGTGCGCAGCAGCCATGAACGCGCAGGGCCGGCTCCCGCCGGGCATGGCCAGCACGGACACTGTGCACGCGGCCGCTCCGCCTCCCCTCCCCGTCACGGAGGCTCGCAGGGGCATGGGCTGCTCCCCGGTGAAGCTGCTTCCCCGGGCTGAGGCCATCCGCTCCAAGCTGGTGTGCATGTTCTACCTGATGGATCACCTGCAGGGCCTGAGCCAAGCCATCCCCCGGCACAACATCAAGGACTTCCTCGGTAGGCAGAGCCCGTGTGCCCGGCGGGGGTGTCCCGCATCGCTGCCCCGTGCGTGGCTGCGGCACACGAGAGCCTGGCGGCGTGGGGACGGGGACAGCTCCCGGCAGGGCCAGGGGACAGTTCCCGGCAGCGTGGGCCTGGGGACGGCTCCCGGCAGCACGGGGACGGGCAGAGCCCCGTGACACCCGATGCCCACAACCATCTCCCCATCAAAAGCAAGGGCTTATGGCTATAATGTAAACATTGAGGACCCCTCAGATCTGCCAAGCTCTCACTCTGGCAGAGTTGAAAGGGGCAGATTGAGATCTGTTCTCCTCCCTCCTCTGTTGGGGTAGATACTGCCGCAACCTGGCAAGTCAGCCCACTCTGAACATTTTTCCATCCTCTGCTCAGGTCTTATCTCTAGCAGGGAGATGCATTTGTCCTGCATCCTGTAGCCCAGAAAGCAGGAGCTGGAGTGCGACAGGGTGCAGTTCTTTCCACGTTCAGAATCCTCCCCGTGCCTCTGCGTTTGCTCCTGTGCTGGTGGCTGCAGTGCCGCTGTGCAGCTCTGCAGCTCCGTGCAGTCAGCGGTGCAAGGTCGGGCCCAGGCTGCACACAGGGAGTGAACCAGGAGGCCGGGCACCTGGATGGAGCTTGCAGTGGCGCCGGGAGCGCRGCGGCTGCGCAGGCCTTGGTTAAGGCAGGTCCACAGCTGGTCCTGCCTGTGTGCGGCTCTTTGCGGTAGCTCCACATCCGCGCAGGGCGGTCGGACGCGGCAAAGTCTGTCCTTTCCCTCTCCGGTGATGCAGCGCCCTGTCCCTGGTGCAYGGAGGATGCTGCTTGGGCAGCCCTTGTGCAATGCCATGGTCCCCCAGCACGTGCCCGTCACCCGTGCTGCACACGGCGGGCTGCAGATTCCCCATGGAGTCTCTCCACAGACGCCAGAAAGCAGAGGAAGCTGATGCTCAGTGATCACAACCAGCTGGTCCGTTTCAACATCAAGCCCATCAAGAAGACCCTCGTCACGCCAGAGAAGCACCTGCGTAACCGCATTGAGGTCCGCAGTAGCCGCTGGCCTCCCCTCGCCCTGTGGGCATCCTGGCTCCTGCACAGTATCCACAGCCGCCCCAAGCCTGGCAGCCGTGGCAGTGCTGGTCCATGGGACATAGGTCCCGGGAAAGCTCTGGGTATGGGATGGGTCAAACTGGGTTCCTGCTAGGGAGAGGCTCCATGTACTGGTGGCCTAGGTGGCCTTTGCTTGGTGATGGATGAGCAGGGACTGAAACCCTGAGACCCCTGCCCTCCTGGAATGCTGTTCTCTGGTGAGTGGCTGCTTTCCATGGGGACCTCTCTGCAACTTCTCCAGTGCTTGGAGTCACCAGCAGAGCTCTGCTGCCAGGGCACCAAGGCCAAGCCGAGCTGCCCTGTGGAGCAGCCTGTCCCACAGCACACCTCACATTTGTGATTGCTCCTGGCCCTGGAGTTCAACAGACATATCATGCCCCCGGTTTTCCTCAATGGCAAACCTCAGGCATACTCTTCAGAAGCTTCATCATCTTCCTGATCTTCCTGAACACGCTGGTGCTGATGATCAAAAGTGGTGAGCAGGAGCAGCCTCGGCTCGCCGCGCTAGCAGCAGGCCAGCGTCCCCTCGCTGCGCCCTGTGCGYGGGGTTGCCGCGGCCCGGGACGTGCCGTGGCTGTGGGCTTAGGGCRCCTGCCGAGCGACACCGAGCAAGACGTGCCCGCAGGAGCCAGCAGCAGCGGCCGAGTTGGCGTCCGGGGTTAATCTCAGCCCCCTTCCCCGCCTGCAGCCAGGCGGAGCAGCAGCCTCCTGTGCCACCGGGACCCTTCCCACCCGCAGAGGTGGGCTCGGAGCGGGCTGTCCCACCAGCCTCTGCCAGCCTTTGAGCTTCCCTCCCGCCACGGCCGCACTGGGTGGTTCCCGTCTCCCTCCCAACCTTTGTGTCCTTGGCAGCAGCCTCCCTCCTGTAACCTGTCTCCTCTAGCAATGTCACAACTGTCCCCTCTGGTCCCCAGAGCTCATGAAGGTGGCCAACGTGAGTCGCAACATCACCACATCCCTGGAGGTAGCAGTCTGGGTCATTTCTATCATTTTCATCATTGACATCATGCTGAAYTGGCTGGTGAACTTCAGGGGCTATTGGAAGAATGGCTGGAACATCTTTGACTGCACCCTCACCTTTGTGGTAAAAAGCCCCGGGCCAGCCCCAAGCAGCACCCTGAGCACGCGGAGGCGGCACCAGGGCACGGTGTGGGGCTGTGAGGGGCAGAGGGTCCTGCGCTGCCCTGCAGACCCCTCGGGTGGGCTCTGGCTGCCTCTGCAGCGCGGGGCCTGGCGCTCGGGCTGCTCAGACTTGTGCCCCGCTCTCCTGCTCGGCCCAGCTTGGGGCCGCCCTGCATCTCCTCAGCTGCCTGAGCCCTCCGCACACCTCCAGGGTCTCCCACTTGCAAGGGCTCCCCTTCCACTGGTGAAAAACATTGGAGGCTGGAAAATGGGGCTACCACAGGCCAAAGCTAGACAGCATTTGTGGAGCCCATGTCTGTTTTGGGGTTCGACACATAGGTTTGGATAATTGGTGCAAACCCTTCTTTCTCGGCCCCGGGGCCAGGGGCTTTCTCCACAGGCCGGTTGCGCCGGCACCGCTGCAGTGCGGAGGGGCGGCTGGGCGGGGGGCGGTGGTGGGGGGGCCGCCCTGGTCTCCCGGTGCGAGCCCTGCGCCCGCACCCTGCCTGCAGTCGCTCATCCCCGAGTTCTTGTACCTGTTCAACATCGCGGAGCAGTCTGTSTCCAAGAGAGTCCGGCGCGTCTTCCGCATCCTCCGCTCCTTGAAGATCTTCTGCCGCTTCCAGCAGGTCCGGCTGATCATCCGGGCCATAGTGAAGGCCCTGAAGGTGGGCTGGGATGCAGCGGCAGTGGGAAAACCACTGCAGTACCACATATCTGCTGCGTGTCTCCCCTGCATCACTCCCCTTTCCCAGTGGGGCATCTGCCGTGCCTGTCCCCCAGCACACAGCAGCAGCTGCCCTCCCCCGCCGCCACCCGCTCCCTACCCCAGCGCTCCCAGTGCTCCGGGATGGCTCCGAGCACCTTGGAGCAGCCGCTGTGCCCTGGGCAGCTGCTCCTGAGCTCCTGTCCCAACAGCCGCCTCTCCTGCCAGGCCATGACCTACATCCTCCTGTTCCTGCTTGTTTTCTTCTACGTGTTTGCTGTCTCTGGTGTCTTCTTCTTTGAGAACTACACCCACTCCAACTACGCAGATGAAAAGTACAAGGACTATTTCAGGTAAGATGCTGCTGTCACAAGGGCTCGGAGCCCAGTTTCTGCCCTGCAACATCTGCTCTGTCTGTTGCCCTGGGCTCCTCCAACTCAGGAGGGCTTCTGTGCAGGACGCAGGAGCTTTTCTCCAGGAGCTTCTCTCCTGGTGCACCAGGATGTGCAGTATTGATCCCAGGCACTGGCACCATCCCGGTGCAGGCACAACCTGTGCTCCGTCAGCGTGTAGGGAGGCAGAGCTGCAGCTCAGGCTGCCTTGGGYGCCGCTTTGGGCTGCCGGGTGCATGGGGAGGGCAGTGTGATGCTGCGGAGGCAAGACGTGGGCCGAGATGGGCCCTGCCACAGGGGCTCTGCCCTGTGCCACGTGGGCAGTGCAGCCCCTGGGACATCTCTGCTGGAGCCCTCCCTGGCCAGCACCCCCGGTAGCAGTAACACGTGCACCCCCAAAGCGCCCCGGAGGGTGGCACGCAGGGCGCGCTGCAGGTGGAGCCGGCGGCAGCCGGGCACTAGGGGCTCTAGGGGTGCCTGGGGCTCTAGGGGCTCTAGGGGTTCTAGGAGCTCTAGGGGTGCCTGGGGCTCTAGGGGCTCTTGGGGCTCTAGAGGCTCTTGGCTTCACGTGGCCCCAGCACACACGGCTGGGAGAGGAGAGCGCGGACACCGTGCAGGACAGAGCTGCTCTCTGTCGGCAGCTCCTTTTCCAATGCCGTGGTGACTGTCTTCATTCTCTTCACCCTGGATCACTGGTACGACCTGCTTCAGGACACCTGGAAGATTCCCAATATGAACAAATTTATCAGCGGGATGTACATCATCCTCTGGCTGCTGATCGGGTCCTTCCTCTTCAAGAACATCATTGTGGCCGTGATGGGTGAGCACAGGGCCAGGCCCAGCTGTCCACCTTCCTCTGCAAGGCCCCAGACAGCTCACACGGTGCTTTTGTGTCCCCTTCCTGCTCCTTTTGTGTCCCGTTCCTGCTCCACTGCGAGGGCAGCGCTTGGCTTTGAACGGGGAGGTGGGTGCTGCCCTTTCCCTCTGCGAGCACTGCTGCTTGCAGTGGGACCGGTGCCCAGCAGGAGGCAAGCGAGGCCGGGCACCACGGCTGACTCTCATGGTCACCCTCACGTGGGCCCTGTTGCAGATGGAGAGCCTGGAGACCAGTGCCCAGCCTTGGATTCTCACTTGGTGCACACCGGGCAACCTCCCCACCCTCCCAAGCTCTCCAGGGTGTACAGCAGCAAGATATAGTGGCAATGGGTGCAGCACACAGCCCTTCCTAAGCAGCCCCTTCCCTAGGCAGAGCAGCCCGGGGAAAGCCCACAAATCCACATCCTCTTCCCTCCATGTTTCCAAGACCCTCTTCCCAGCACTCACAACTTTACTTCCCAGTGAGTAACTTCCAAACCATCCGAAGTGACCTGATGGAAGAAGCACAGCAGATAGAAACCCAGAAGGAAGTGGATTTATTCAGAATACAAATTAGAGAAAGGTAGAGATGAGAACATYCGATCCTATCACTTGCCAAAGAAAACACGTCCTGCAGCATGTGGGYTCTGTGGTGCAAGGAATATCCTTCCCTAGTGATGCTGTCCTTGCTCTTCCCCTGCAGGAGACACAGCCAGTCCTCGACAGGCATCAAGAGCTGCCAGAGCGGCTCTGGCAGGTGAGCATGGACATGCCAGGCCTGGGCAGGAGCAGCCGTAGCCCGCGGCCCTGTGCTCRCCCCCAGGGCTTGCGCCACGATGTGGTTGCCCCCGGGAACAGGGGCCCTGTGTAAGCCATGTCTGATAAGTCTTGGCTTCTTCCCCACTCCAGAAGCAAAAGAGACTTGATGGTTTAGATTTGTCATAGCTCTCAGCCAAATACAGAAGCAGCTGGTGGGGGAACAGGGCGAGGGGTCAGCCAGGCCGGGGCTCAYCTGTAGCCTCCTCCTTGCATCAGGGTATTCGACCAAGAGCTCGACCACGGCAGCAAAGCCCTCTCACTCTCCAAGAAGAGCTCTGAATTCAAGCTGCCCAGAGACCAATCCACAAAGGACTGTGAGTTGTGCTGCCCTGCACGCTGGGCCAGGCAGGAGGCCTCGGGGAGAGCAGAGCGCCCGCGTTCCTCRCAGCAGGAGGGGTGTGCGCCCCTTGCCAGGCTGGGAGAGGCAGGACAGATCAGGGGCTGCTTGGGGACACGAGGGGGAAGCTTCTGACAGCCCTGATTCTGAGGCCTTGCCCCTGGCAGCGGACTGGGAGACATATATACAGAAGAACCTGAAGAGACTCATTGATGAAAATGAGGATGTGCAGGTGCTGTGGCCCCGCGATTCCCTCTTCCGCTATTTGGAGCTGCTGGAGGAGCTGCAGTATAACCTGGAGGACCGCAAGAGGCTGCAGAATCACGCAAGTCAGTGTGCCCAGCCCCGCATCCCCCATCCGCGCCATGGCTGCGCCCGCGGCGCTGCGGCTCCCCGCGCGTGGCCCYGTCCTGCCCGCTGTCCGTGCGGCAGGGCAGCCTGGCCCACGGCTCTGCCCTGCCCCGCAGTGCTGATGCTGAGCAAGCTGCAAGATGTGTGAGGAGGTCATGGGCACCGCGCACAACAAGACCGGGGACCCAAACACGCTGCCTCCCGTGCCTCTGCTGCGCCGCTGAGTGGGACCCGCGCGGCACCAGGACCCGTGCGGCACCGCGACCCCGCGCGGCATCGGGACCCCGCAGCACCGGGACCCCGCGGCACCGGGACCCCCCGCAGCACCGGGACCCCGCGGCACCGGGACGCTGCAGTCCCGGCACCCCCGCGCTCACCGGCAGGGGGCGCGCGGCGCCCTCCGCGGCCCCGCGCCCCCGGGCCGGCTCCCCCGCCCCGCGCAGCCCGGGCCGCGGCTGGACGCGAGGCCGGCGGGTGCGGGGTGCGGCGGGGCCGGGCGCGCTGCGGGGGGGGCCTGGCCTTGGGGACCCCGCGGGAGGTTCTTGCCCTGCAGCCCGCAGCTGACCCGCTGCGCGCTCTGAGCCCTGGCGGTTTCAGCTCTCGCATCAGTGCGCAGGGCACCACGCGGGTGGCTTCACAGTGTCAAAAATGCATCGTCTGGGCACAGGGCGGGCGGTCGGGCTGGCCTTTGGTTACTGCCCGGGCTGGGGCTGCTGCGTCTGGCCTGGTGCGGTGCCGGGTGGTGCAAACGCTGCAAGCAGGACGGTGCGGGGCTGGGAGGGCAGGAAATGACCGCTGCACAGTGCCCACAGGGAGCAACGTGTGGGGCACCGGGACTGTGCCTCTGCCGGGGCAGGTCGGAGCCCACTCTGCAGGGGCACGGGACAGGCCAGGGCTGGGGGCTCTGCAGCTCCCACGGCGCAACAGGGCCCCTGGGGCCACCTGTGCCCCTCCCTGGGGCTCCAGCACCCCCGGGTGCCCTGCACATCCCGCGCCACGGGAAAGCGTGAGAGGAGCCGGGCTGAGCCCCGCGCAGCTGGAGGCGACGTCAGGCAGGCGCCGGGTCTGCCGTGGACCCTGCGTCCCGCTCTGCTGCACCAGCCCAAGCCCCCTCGTCGCCACCCGCTCCTCGTGGTGGCTGTGGGGGCTCCTGCAGGGAGGCACAGCCATGGGCCTCTGCCCAGGCCACCGAGGCCACCGCACCGAGCGACTTGGCACCAGGGACCCGTTCCTGTGCCCTCCTGTCCCTCGTGTGCCCTGAGCCTCCCCGTGCTGTCCCACACTGCACTCACGCACATCGTGCCCTGCTGCCCCATGTCCCCTGTGCCATCCCCCATCATTGGCCCCTTGTCCCTGTGTCCCCTGTGCCCCACGTACCCTGTGCCATCCCCCATCATTAGCCCCATGTCCCTGCGCCCTGTGTCCCTGGCTGTGTCTCCTGGCAGGTGCCACTGGGTGCAGGTGGCTCAGGCCAGCTGCCACCTGCCCTATGGCCCCCGTGCCCAGCTGTGCCCACCTGTGGGTCACCTTCCCGGCCACCTGGAGCACAGCCAGCTGGCTGCCGCAGAGCCCGCGCCGCTGCAGCGCTGCCTGGGGCTGCCACAGGGAGCCGGCCCTGTGCCCGTCTCAACTGCGGGCCCTGCCAGCAAGACAGGCAGCTCGGGCGGCTGCCGGGCGCTGCGTGGCGCTGCTATGGGGGGCTGCCGTGGGCATTCGCTGGGTTGGGCTGGGGGACCGCRGGGAGGATGTGCTGGGCAGTGGGGGTTATGGAGCCGTGCCCCAGTGCCATGCACTGCCTGCCCCGCTCTCTGTGGGGCACAGACCATGTGGCAAGGGGCAGCTCTGGACGCCGCCGCTGCCAGAGGCTCCCGCTGCGCTCAGCGGAGGCCTGGGGATGAGCATAGGCTTTAGCAGCGCTGCTCGCAGTCACGCGTGTGTGCGCACACACATGCCTGTGAGTGTGTGCACATGCCTGTCCGCGTGTGTGCTCGTGTGTGTCCCGCAGGCAGCAGCGGGGCCAGSCTGGCCCGTCCTGCCCTGGTGCTGCTCCCCTGCGCATGCCGCAACGCACGCTGAGCGCCTTGGCAATAAACTGCTCTGCTCCCGCAGCTGCCGCAGCCTTCAGCCAGCCCCATGGCTCCCGGCACCCACAACGAGCTGCCACTGCCCCACGCAGCCCCCGCTGTGCCCAGCCGGGACAGCAGCTCTGCGGAGCTCCCGGCATTTTCGGAGGCACCCTACACCCCGCGGGCGCCCATCCGCAGCAGGAGAAGGATGTGGCGGGAGGGTGCCAAGAGCCCGGACATGGAGCAGACAGAGCCTTGGCTGGAGCTGCCTGGATTTATAGGGCTGGCACAGGGCGTCGCGGGCTACGGGGCATCGACATGCTGGGCACGGCGCTCGCGAAAGCTGCGGGGAGGAGCTGGGCTGCGGCCGGCGCTGTGCGGCGCTGGCTCAGTGCCGGAACTGYGGCACTGGGGAGGGGATGCGGATGTCCTGCCCCTTCTCCAGCCGCCGCTCGCAGTCGATCAGGTAGTTCACACCGTCTATCACCAGCTGCACCAGCTCCACCTGTACCAGGAGCACATGGGTCCCCACTCGGTGCCTGTCCAGCCCTGTGCCACGGGCTCGTGCTGCCACGTAGCGCCCAGGGCCCCGTGGCCCCCGCTCCCCCAGCACCCACCTCGGACTTGCCCAGCCGGTCCAGGTTGGAGATGTCAAAGACGCTGCCKGTAGCTGCTGTGTCCACCCCGCCGGTCCCACGCTTCTGCAGTCGGAGGTTCTCCAGGATCTTGGGGAAGCGGCTGTCCTGTGGCCAGAGAGGGAAGGTGTCAGTGCCTGGAGGAGCCACCAGCGAGGGAAGCGGGCCCCAGGGCTGCAGGGCTGGATCCCGGCCCCAGCTCCTCCTGCAGTCGCTACCTTGCTCAGAAGCGGCAGCTTGATGTGGACGCCGGCCCGCAGCCCCGTGCCCAGGTTGGAGGGGCAGGTCAGGATGTAGCCCAGTCGCTCGTTCCACATGAACTCCCAGCCACGCTCCTGGATCAGCCGCTCCACCTGGGCCAGGACAAGTGTGACAGCTCAGCCCAAGGCGCATGGGCAGGACTGGCACAGCGAGGGCCCCATCCGAGCGTCCTTGTGTGCGGCCRGGGCTGGCAGCGCTCACCTCCTTCAGGCCACGGCAGAACCGCTCGAACACGCGCTTCATGTTGCCGCCCTTCTCCATGGAGATGATGCGTGTGTGGTCCTCCTCGTTGATCCACACCAGGAAGGTCTTCTCGTTGTTGTGCCTGGGGACAGGCCGGTGCTCAGCCAGTGGTGTCCCCAGGCCGACCGTGGGCTGTCAGCGCCGCGGTCAGAACGCGGCCCAGGCCCCTGCCCTCCACTCCTGCCCCACAGCCGGGACTGCCCGCGTGCAGGCGGAGTGGGAGGGAGCACAGGGGCATCCGGAGCAGGATGTGGCTCCGCTCACCAGATGCCACGGGCGTCGGGCCAGTCACGGGCCATTCCTGCTGCCGTCAGCAGCGGGGACACGGGCTTGTCGAAGAGGAAGTGGTCCTAGGGGAGGCGGCGGGTGAGCCCGGCCCCGTGCCCACCACTGCTTGCCGCTGCAGTGCAGCGCGGCGCCAGGGCCCGCTGCTCCTTGCAGCACCATGTGGACTCACGTCAATGAGCTGCTGTTGCTCCTTCTCGGTCATCTCGCCCAGACGGTAGTAGCGCCCGGTCAGGTCGCCCCGCAGGCCATTCAGCGCCTCCACCGCCACCTTCTCCACCTCACGCCTCTCGGCCCGCGTGCAGGCGGGCGGCAGGCTCAGCCCGCGGATGCTGCGCCCCGTCCGCACACGCGACGACAGCACATAGCGCTCGTCGAACTGCCCGAACTTGATCTGCAGCAGCAGCAGCAGCTGCCAGGGCGCCAGCACCGCCGGCACGGGCCCCAGCCTGCTTCCCCTCAACAGCCCCCCACCGCCCCCACTGCTCCCCATTGCCCCCCATCCTGCCCTCACCCTGAATCACCCCCATCATTACTCCCACTGCCCCTCATTGCCCCCATTGTCCCCCATTGCTACCATTGCCCAAGACAGCCCCTTGCTCCATCATCTCCCCATCCTCCCCGTCACCCCTGGTCCTGCTGTTCCTGCTGCAGCCCGCGGCAGGGCTCAGCTCGCACACCTTGCTGGCGTCCAGGTCTGTGGTGTGCTTCATGGTGCGCGGGTCGTAGCCGTTGTGCCGCTCCTGGATCACCGGGTCGAACAGTTCGGAGAACACCTGCAGGCAGAGGCATCATGCGGTGCGGGATGGGGACCGGGATGCGGGGCTGCGCGCGGCCTTGCTCGACGCGGGCAGCCGCCGAGCAGAGCTGCAGGGCAAGCCAGTGCTCACCTCGTAGGTTTCCTCATCGCCTGCTACCATGCCCACAGTCTTGATGAAGGGGTGGCCGGGGTTGTCCACGCCGGTCTGGATGCACTGGTCCAGCGTCCAGCCGTTGGGGGTGGCCTTGTCGCAGAGCCGGGCGTAGATGGCAGGTGTCAGGTTGCTGGCCATGCAGTTGTTGTGCTTCCGCAGGTCGGGGTACTCAGCGCTGCGGAGGGAACAGTGGCAAGGCCCGGGGACGCGCCACAGAGCCGCGCACAGCAACGCGCGTCACCCATGGCGGCTGTGCTCGCGACTCGGCCGGCGTCCCCAGCGACACGCCTGTGTGCACAGCGATACGGGTGGCATGCGGAGCGATACGGCGAACGGCAGCGAGGGCAGACAGCGTCCCAGGATGAAGGCTGTCATTGCCACAAGGACACAGGGCCGCAGGACACTGGGCTCCTGGTGCGCCGGCCACTGCCTGGCCAGCCGACACTCTGGAGGGTCCTGCTGCCTCCTCCCCTTGAGCTTCCCAGAGCCCCCAGGGAGGCTGCTGCTCTCTCGGCCCCTCTGCCCTCTGCCGTGTGCCCGGAGCAGGACCCACGCGCAACCCGCTGGCCCCGGCGCTTCCTCCTGTGCTCCAGCGCCTCGTGGGGCAGGGGCTCTGCTGATCCTCATCTGCGGCTGGCGAGACCCCAGCACCAGGGCAGGCTCTTGCACCGGGGGACGCTTGTCGCTAATCCGCTTGGCGGGGGGCTGTCTCCTGACCTCATTGCCGCTTTAGCCGGCTTTGTGCCTGCTCCATGCGGGGGATCGGCAGGATGGACCGGCAAAGCCCTTGGCAAGCAAGTCCTGCCACGGGGGCGGGGGAAGGTGCCTGCCCGCCCCTGCATGAGGCCAGATCCCACCGGCCGGGCACCCCGGGACTGGCCAGGCCCCGGGCTGCTGTGCAGCTGCCGTCCCACTGCCTCCTCCGGGAACGTCCCGTGCTGTCCAGCTGCCACCTCTGTCCAGTGCCCACAGGCTGGGAATGTGCCCGGCCTTCAGCCCACGGGGTCAGCACTTGCTGCTCCGCAGGGAGCGGGATGCAAGATCCGTGCAAGGACTGTGTTGGCGGCTTGGCCTGGCCGAGCRTTGCAGACTGGCAGGGAATGGGGAAGGGGACAGAGTGAGCCCCACGGCAACGCCCCACGCACCCCATGGAGACGCACTCAGGCGCAAACGCCGCTGTGCGGAGCGGGGCGCTGGGACGTGTTGGAGTCCCTGCCGTTCCYGGCGCTGCAGCTCCCGGGGCACTGCCAGCAGGCGCAGGCGCTGCCTGTTGGCGCCCTGATGCACCATGAGGTGTCCAGTGCCCATCTAGGCTGGGAAGTGCTTGGAGCCTCCCCAGGACCGCGAGTCGCAGCCCTGGCTCCGAGCTGCAGCCTGGCCTGGCGCATGGACGTCCCTCCCACAGCTCCGCCCTGGACGGTGGCCAGCAATTCTGGGGAATTTCTTTTCCGCCTCCAGGGCAGGCTGGACGGGGCCAAGGCAGCAGAGGTGCTGACACCCAGGGCTGTGCTTGGAGGGGAGCATGGATGTGACATGGGGGCCCTGGCTTTGGGATTCTCCTGCCCAGAGCAGGGAGATGCCCCTGTGGCAGCCTTGGCCCTTGGTTTGGGTCCCAAAGCTGGCCATAAATTCATGAGGTTTAGTACCAGCCCCCTGAGCTGGTACGGGGCTGAGCAGCGACTCTCATGCAGCATCGGGGGCCGTGTGGCGCGGTGCTGCCAGCCTCGCTGCAGTCACCCTGGCCGCTGCCGCTGCTCGGCCGTGGCTCTGCACACGTGCTTAGCAGCGGGGACAGGCCCAAGGACTCGGTGCAGCCACCCCCGCGTGGGGTCGGGCGTCCTGTGCCTCCAGCGGGTGCCTCTGCCTCGTCCTTGGGGAGGCCAGGGAACACTGACCTGTGCCTTCCCTCCCGACCCAAGTTTGCACCTGGCTCTGCGCTCCACAGCTCAGCACCAACCGCACCACGTGCCTGGGAGCAGCTGCACCCTGTCCCTCTGCCCTCTGGCCTCCGCTGCACCTGGTCCTGATGGCACCAGGATGGGGGAGATGTTCACAGACCCACCCAAGGGCAGAGGTTGGCAGGGACCTCAGGACCTCAGGCATCACCTTGTCCAGCCCTTTCTCTTGACACCCTCTCTTAAGATCCCTCTCAGGCTAAACAGGTCCCGCTCTCCCGGCCTCTCCTCCTAGGACAGATGCTCCAATCCTCTCATTATTTTCATAGCCTGTCCATACCCTGGACTCTCTCCAATAGCTCCATTGGAGAAGGACTCTGGATGTGTCCTCACCAGGGTTGAGCAAAGAGGGAGGATCCCTTGAGCTGCTGGCAGCGCTCTTCCCAGTGCCCCTGAGAGCACCGGCCTCCTTGGCCACGGGGGCTTGGGGCTGGTTCGGGGGTCTCTGCAGCTCGGCCTCCGCCTCTCTGGGTGCTGCGCCCATAGCACGATGGCTGCCATGGGGGAGGATGCCTGGCCCCACAGCCCAGTCCTGTCCCCAAGGGCAGCTCCTGGCAAGGCGACTTGCAGGGAGTGACGCCAAAGCCTCGCGTTCAAGCCTGAACCTTGGCACCGCGCTGCAGCCGGCAGTGCTTATCTGGCTTAAGGGATCAGGTGCCGGGTGTGCAAACACAACCCGTGGCTGCTTCAGGCGGCCTGGTCACAGCCCCACCAGCACCGCGGGCTGCAGCCATGGCCCTGTCTGCACCTGCACCTGCCCAGGCTGCCAACACCAGCCACGCACCCCATCCCGCCAYGTGTGCTGTCCTGCCACACGTCCAGGCTCCCGCATGCCCTCCTGCCATGTGCCCCGTCCTCTCGCACAGCGCAGGGCTCATCCGCAGGCCGACTTCACCAGGCCTGCGTGGTGCCAGCCCAGCACCTGCACCTGCACCTGCACCTGCACTGCACAGGGTGCCGAGCTGCCCCGGGCCATGCAAAGGGCCCCGTGTGCTCAGGGCTGGGCGCAGCGCTGCCTGGGGGACACAGGCGCCCCCCGCGCTGCACGCTGAGCGCTCTGCTCCCCGGGGGCCCAGGGCACCCCTGCTCCCCCCCCCTTTAGATCTGTGCCTGAGCAGAGCCAGCGTGGAGCTGCCAGGGAGCCTTTTCTTCCAAGCTCATGAGAAATGCCCATGTCCAAGGCGGAGGCTGGCACAGCCAGATGGGATCCAGCCAGGAGCTTTCACCAGTCCTGGGGCTGCAGGAAGGGTCCTGCTGGACACGGGCTCTCACAGAGGGAGCCCCTGGGGGCTCTTCCAGGAGCGGGGGGTGCAGCCGTTTGTGCTGCCCGGTTCCGCCGGGAACGGGATGCTGGCGGCTCCCGCACGGCGGGCTGGGACCGGCACGGACGATGGAGCAGCCCCCGTGCCTCTCCCGAGCAGCCCCCGCCCCGCCGGGCCCGCGCCGCTCCCGGGCTTCCCTCTCCGCCCAGAACCGCGAGGCCCGGCCCGGCCCGACCCGGGGACACAGAGCGCTGCGGTTCGGGGCCACCGCGGAGCCCATCGCTCCCGCGACACCCCGAGCCGGACGAGCCGCACCGGCGCGGGACGCTCGGGCTCCGCTCGCGGGAGCCCGGCCGGTATCGCGGCGGTGCGGGCTCAGCGCCCGGCTCGGAACCCGCCTCAGAGAGGGCTCGGTACGGGCTCGGTGCCGACTCGGTACGGGCTCGGTGCCGACTCGGTACGGGCTCGGTACTAGCTCGGTACGAGCTCGTTGCACGCTCGGTACTGGCTCGATATGGGCTCGGTGCCGGCTCGGTGCTGTCCCGGTACGGGCTAAGTGCGGACTTGGTGCCCGTTGAACCGTCCCGGAGCCGCGAGGGCCGAGTCCCCCCGCCGCCGCCGGTACCTGGGCGGGTAGCGCCGCCGTTGCCGTTCGCCGGCGCTGACCGAGTCCCGGACGATGAGGAAGCCGGCGGCGAGCGAGCCGGCGCCCACCATGGCCAGAAGCCCGGCGGAGCGGCGGCCCGGGAGGGCGCGGGCGAAGGCGCCGGCCATGGCGGAGCGGAGCGGGGAGCGGCGCGTTGGGAATGGGGACGGCGGCGGTGGGGGGAGGGGAGCGCCGGGCGGGGGGGAGGGGGACGCCACCTGCCAGCCCCGCCCCTCCCCCTTCCCGGCTCCGGTACCGGCACCGGGGCTGCGGGGCCGCCTTCAGCACCGCGCCCTGGACAGCGCCGGCGCGGGCGGCCGCGCGCGGGGCTCCGAGTCCCGCACCGGGCTCCGCGCTGCACCGGGCACTGCACTGCACTGTGCTGCATTGCTCTGCGCCGCCCTGCACCGTGCTGCACCGCACTGCATTGGGGCCGAAGCACCACACTGTGGCGTGTTGCACCACATTGCACCGCGCTGCACCGCGCTGCACTGTGCTGCACCGCATTGCACAGCACTGCTCCGCGCTGCAAAGCGCTGCATCGCAATGCGCAGCACTGCCCCGCGCTGCACCGCACTGCCCCGCGCTGCAAAGCGCTGCATCGCAATGCGCAGCACTGCCCCGCCGGGAGCCGCGCTGGGCTGGGCTGGGCCGGGCCGGGCCGGGCGGGTGCGGCGGG